CACGCACACACACACACACACTCACACTCACACTCACACTCACACACACACACACACACACACACACAAGCCTCACATTCAACAAATCCACACAATGTGTTTCCTGTTCAGCACGAGCCTCTGCAGCCGACCACATTTACACACAAACAGAGCGCTCGGATTCGCTGTTAAAGCACAAAACTCTCAGTACATGGCTGATTTCACACTTGTGCAATGCAGAGTTTTCACTTTCAAAAGTTTATGTTCCAGCAGGTGATTCACTGCAACAATCTCATCATTCTGTACATCATCTGACACAGCATCATGTGTTTTCTGCTCCACAAGAGGAAGAGAAATCGGAGCACATGCCGACCGCGGTAAAGACAGAAACACGGAGCACATGTTACACACCACTCTGATTACACCGAGCACATGCTGCACTGAGACCGTCTGCACAAAAACACGCTCCTTTCCCGCCAATGCATGCTTCAAAAAAAATGGGGTTTGCAGGAAATAAATCACTTACTGAAAATGAAATAAATCATACAAATATAAAATTTTAATTGAAAAATATTTAAAATTAATTAAATCAATTATTAATTTTTTTATTATTATTTCAATAAAGAACATTTACTAAAAATGTAATTATGAAAATGTAAAATTAAAATACAAAATCATTTAAAATAAAATAATCAATGTAGAACACTTACTAAAAGTTAAATTATAAAAATGTAAAAGTAAAATAAAAACAATTTAAGAATAAATATAATCAACATAGAACATTTATTAAAAATTTAATCATAAAACTGTAAAATAGAAATGTTAAAAATAGTGTATGGATAGCTGGCCAATCACAGCACACCTCGCTTTTCAGACCGATGAGCTTTGTAACAATCGACGCGTTTCAGAAAGCCGAGACATAGAGGAGAAACAATAATGTACAGTATGTGGAAAATAATGTGTTTTTTTAACCTTAAACTGCATAAACACATTTCATTACACCAAATACACAACATAATGTTCTTTTTAGCAACGTCATATGACCCCTTTAAATGTAAAAAAAACTGTAAAATTAAAATAAAACACTAAAAACATGTTTTTAGTGTAAATATATTAAATGTATATATAAAATATAAAGTATAAATGTTATTAAAACAATTACTTTCATGTAAAATTATATATTACAATATTATATCACAATAATAACAACATAAAAAATATTTTAAAATATATAAAATAAAAATTTAAAATATTCAATACAAAGCTGACAAAGTATGTAAACATCACACAAAGAGTCCACTATAATAAACTAGTCAGTCCTCATGACAGCTGAAGAATGAGTTGAAAACAGACTCTTACCCCCTTCAGCTTGTTGTGGATCAAAGTCTGGAAGAGTCCGGACACAAACAGGCCGATTCCCATGATCAGGAGAACAGCGCCGACGACTCCCGACATGAACATGCAGCAGGAGCCCTTCCTCATGGTGCAGGTGTCAATGAATCAGTACAGCTTCTCCTCCTCAACACACACAGCACTGAAAGTGAGGTAACCAATCAGATCCTGAGCTCAGATCGAGACGCTCCTCTCACAGTGTTTGCTCCTGAAGTAAACTTGATCCAGCGGCCAGCTCACTATTTGAATGAATGACTGCAGTGTGGAGGGGCCAGGCGTCACCCGGAGTGGGCGGGACTGAGGGCGAGAGACACACAGAGAGAGAGAGAGAGAGACAGAGAGAGAGAGAGAGAGAGAGAGAGAGAGAGAAGGAGGGTTGTGTGTTTGGATTCTTGTGCTTGAAGGTGACCGACGACTGTTTTAGTGCTTTAACCAGATCTAACTGGACCTTGTGTAAATTCACAACTATATAAACACATTTCACATCAAAAATCACAAGACAGAAAGAAAAATAGAAAGAAAATAAAACACTATAAAGAAAAGAAAAAGGACATGTAAAAAATAAATTATAGAAACTTGTGTTAATTTTCCATTAAAAAGAAAATGTAGAAAGTATGCACACACAGTATAAATTAACAATATATATATATAAAATACAAATAAATTATTTCTAAAATTATATAAGGTCATTCTGTGTCAACTCAACCAGAGGTCCCCAGCTCAAATTTCTGAATTTGATCATATCTGTATTTGATGAAAGCCAAAATATTAAATGTTGTGGATGAATATTTACTATTATTATTTACTAATATTAGTAAATCCGCTATTTTGGTTAAAAATGACTCAGAAAGATGGTAGCATGATACTGTTACTTTTACACAGAGATTAGTATCTCTATTAGTAAAATATGTTGACGTTAGCAATCTTTGTTGCATTATGTGCCAATGGTGAGCATTCAAAAATGGGGAAAGCGCACTTTTCATGTTTTTTCTCCAAAGTTTGCAGGCCTGTAACTCAAGAGGTATTAAAGAAACTTTCCTTTTGGCATCTTAATTTATAAGGCCTTATATGGTTCATTTCCAGAGATATTGAATTTCAATATGGCTCCAGGAGTAAATCGATAAATTCTACACATTTCCAGTGGTCAAAAAACAAACATGGGTCACTTTGCAAAAAAATATGATACTTCTGTTCTTTTAAAGAGGAAGGTCAGAAGAACAAATCATGTTGAATCTAGAAATGTATCTAGTTTCCTTCTGTCAAAACAACTGCATTGAACACCTGTCTGAGTGCCATAAATATTATTTTTCCAAAGTTTGTGAGCCTATAACTTAAGAAGTATTAAAGCTATCACAATATGATTTTAGATTCTAGTTCTTAATAAACTTTTCTTTCGGAAACTTCATTTTCAAGGTCCTACATCATTCAGTCGCAGATATATGGGGTCCTCAATGAGGCTCCAGATTGTTAAATATTACCCATTTTCAGTGGTCAAAACCAAATGTTGGTCACTTTGTATACTGCTAATACTTATTTAATTTAAAGAACAATGTCTGAAGAATAAATAAGTGTTGAAATTAAAACTGTATCTTGTGTCCCTCTATCAAAACAATATGTATAGAACAGACCTGTCTGGCTGCTTAAATGCTCTAAATTGGTCAAGTTACCTTTCTCTCAGTAGTCTATTCATAAGATTCTCTATTCGAATCAGTCTCAGGGATATTTGGAAGGGATTTTGTTAATTTTAACAGCTTCTGAAGCCACCAAGAGTTCAGATATGCACTATTGTAACATGTTTGACAGAGATCCCATGCCTCCTATAGGGAAAAGTGCTTGCTTTCTCCACACATTGCATTCACATCAATAAACCAAGATTTGCCTAACCTGGATTAATGATTAAAATCTCTTTTTCTTTTTTATTGCTATGTGAAGCATAGTCATAGATCAAGTAATATACTGCTAAAGGGCATATTTGGCAGAATAACTGATAGTGCCTCAAACATTTAAGGTCTCTCACACTTAAAATAATTAACACTGGGTATTTCTAAACCCTAGGTAAATCCCAGAGATCCTGGGGTAATCTTATTTTATGTTTCACACTGTTCATACTTTGCCTAGAGTTAATAATTAATCCTGGTAATTCATAATCTAATGTGTCACACTGTACATTCCTAAACCCTGGGTTACTGTTATTATTTGCATATTTGACAATGACAACAGTGATGACTAGATGAACACAAAACCACATTTGGTTTTTGACCATTGAAAATGAGTAGGCCACAACATTTTGGACATGGAGCTGCATCATATCTCTGGGATTAAACCATTCAGGGCCTTGAAAATGAAGATTCCAAACGAAAAGTTTATTTAGAACCAGAATATGAAATGATATTAAAATATCTGTAATACTTCTTGAGTTACAGGCACGCAAATTTGGAAAAAAATGAATATTTATAACACTCACACAGGTATGTCCAATGCAATTGTTTTGATAGAGGGAAACAAGATGCACTCCTAGTTTCAACTTTATTTATTCTTCAGACATTCTGCTTTAAATACAATCTCGTTTCCTTCTGTCAAAACAACTGCATTGAACACCTGTCTGAGTGCCATAAATATTCTTTTTCCAAAGTTTGTGAGCCTATAACTTAAGAAGTATTAAAGCTATCACAATATGATTTTAGATTCTAGTTCTTAATAAACTTTTCTTTCGGAAACTTCATTTTCAAGGTCCTACATCATTCAGTCGCAGATATATGGGGTCCTCAATGAGGCTCCAGATTGTTAAATATTACCCATTTTCAGTGGTCAAAACCAAATGTTGGTCACTTTGTATACTGCTAATACTTATTTAATTTAAAGAACAATGTCTGAAGAATAAATAAGTGTTGAAATTAAAACTGTATCTTGTGTCCCTCTATCAAAACAATATGTATAGAACAGACCTGTCTGGCTGCTTAAATGCTCTAAATTGGTCAAGTTACCTTTCTCTCAGTAGTCTATTCATAAGATTCTCTATTCGAATCAGTCTCAGGGATATTTGGAAGGGATTTTGTTAATTTTAACAGCTTCTGAAGCCACCAAGAGTTCAGATATGCACTATTGTAACATGTTTGACAGAGATCCCATGCCTCCTATAGGGAAAAGTGCTTGCTTTCTCCACACATTGCATTCACATCAATAAACCAAGATTTGCCTAACCTGGATTAATGATTAAAATCTCTTTTTCTTTTTTATTGCTATGTGAAGCATAGTCATAGATCAAGTAATATACTGCTAAAGGGCATATTTGGCAGAATAACTGATAGTGCCTCAAACATTTAAGGTCTCTCACACTTAAAATAATTAACACTGGGTATTTCTAAACCCTAGGTAAATCCCAGAGATCCTGGGGTAATCTTATTTTATGTTTCACACTGTTCATACTTTGCCTAGAGTTAATAATTAATCCTGGTAATTCATAATCTAATGTGTCACACTGTACATTCCTAAACCCTGGGTTACTGTTATTATTTGCATATTTGACAATGACAACAGTGATGACTAGATGAACACAAAACCACATTTGGTTTTTGACCATTGAAAATGAGTAGGCCACAACATTTTGGACATGGAGCTGCATCATATCTCTGGGATTAAACCATTCAGGGCCTTGAAAATGAAGATTCCAAACGAAAAGTTTATTTAGAACCAGAATATGAAATGATATTAAAATATCTGTAATACTTCTTGAGTTACAGGCACGCAAATTTGGAAAAAAAATGAATATTTATAACACTCACACAGGTATGTCCAATGCAATTGTTTTGATAGAGGGAAACAAGATGCACTCCTAGTTTCAACATTATTTATTCTTCAGACATTCTGCTTTAAATACAGTAAGCATCAGCTGTATACAAAGTGACCAACATTTGGTTTTGACCACTGAAAATGGGTAATATTTAACAATCTGGAGCCTCATTGAGGACCCCATATCTCTGCGACTGAACGATGTAGGGCCTTGAAAATGAAGATTCCAAAGGAAAGGTTTATTAAGAACTAGAATTTAAAACCATATTGCAATACCTTTAATATTTCTTGAGTTATCGGCATGCAAACTTTGGAAAAAGAATATTTATGGCACTCAGACGGGTATGTTCAATGCTGTTGTTTTGACAGAAGGAAACGAGATACATTTCTAGTTTGAATATTATTTGTTCTTCAGACATTCCTCTTTAAATAAAAAAAGAAGAAAAATAATCATATTTTTGCAAAGTGTTTTGGTTTTTGACCACTGAAAATGTGTACAATTTAACGATTTGCCCCTGGAGCCATATTAAAATTCCAATATCTCTGGAACTGAACAACATAGGGCCTTAAAAATGAAGATGCCAAAAGAGACGTTTGTTAAGAATCTAAATCTAAAAGGACATTAAGATATCTTTGATTCTTCTTGAGTTACAGGCCTGCAAACTTTGGAGAAAAAACATGAAAAGTGCGCTTTCCCCATTTTTGAATGCTCACCATTGGCACATAATGCAACAAAGATTGCTAAAGTCAACAGATTTTACTAATACACCTACTAATCTCTGTGTAAAAGTAACAGTATGATGCTGCCATCTTTCTGAAGTCACTTTTCGGTCCTGTAATTTGGCTCTGAATCTCAGGTGAAAATTGCTATTTTGACCCCCCTCTACAAAATAATTACTCTGTAAATATTATCCTTTTTTATAATTTATTGTATTTTATATAATAAATTACATTATATTTTATCATTATTACAAAAATAAAATTGATTGGAAGATCCTGATCATGACTATTTCTTAATATTTTAAAGTACATTTTTAAATAAAAAATGTTTAGACAAAAAATAAAATAAAATAAAAATCGAATAAAAATGAAATCAAATAAAAATTTAATTAAAAAAAATTATTGCAAGATCCTGATAGTGTCTATTTTAAATTGTGTTTTAAATAAAAAGTAAATAGTTTCAAAAATAAAATAAAATAAAATAAAGGAAAACATATAGAATAAAATCTGGTCAATTGGGCCCCTTTTTGCCATTTATCCTGAATTAACCCCTAGAATATAGAAGATATGACAAATGATGCATATATGTGAATAAATGATATTGTCACACAAAGATAAACTATTTCAAGGATCAAAAGGGGTCGTGTGTGTGAGCAGTGAGCAGTGAAAGGTCAGATCAGAGGTCACACCCTGCACTCGCCCTTTTACCTGCATTCTCTCAGATCATGTGATGCAGCACTTCCTCTT